AGACCCAATTATATACAAGACAGCACCAATAAGGAGGTCACAGCTCATCAAACAAACTAACAAAATAATAAACAAACTAACAGAAGAATAAAAGAGGAGAACACGTGGGAAGAGAGAGAAGATAAAATAAAAATAAATGATAATTCAACATCCCCCCCTCAAGCTGGCAATTGGTGGAGATCAGCCAATCCCAGCTTGGAAACTAAGTGATGGAACTGAGGGGCTGCTAATGCTTTGGTGAAAATGTCAGCAACCTGTTGAGTAGAAGGAATGTGTTGAGGCAAAATGAATCCGTCTTTAAATTTGTTTCTAACAATATGGCAATCAATCTCCAAGTGCTTAGTTCTTTCGTGAAAAACTGGGTTAGCACAAATATGAAGGGCGGATTTATTGTCACACCATAAAGGGATAGGTAAAGGTATAGGAATGGCAAAGTCTTGCAGTATAAAATTGATCCATGTGATTTCACAAACAGTGGCTGCCAAACTTCTGTATTCAGCCTCAGCTGTGGATCGAGAAACCGTGGTCTGTTTCTTGGTTTTCCATGAAATCAGTGTGTCTCCAAGATAGATACAAAAGCCAGTGAGAGACCTTCTAGTATCACTACAAGAAGCCCAGTCGGCATCGGAGTATGCTGTTAAGGTGAAATTCTGTTGTACTGGAAAGTGCAAGCCTAGTGAAGGGCATCCTTTCAGATATCGCAACAAATGAATTGCAGTGTCCCAATGAATTTGACAAGGATTATGAACGAATTGACTCAACTGTTGTATGCCATAGGTAATGTCCGGCCTCGTCAGGTTTAAGTATAGAAGTCTGCCAATCAGCCTTCTATATCTTTCTGGATCTGGAAAAGGAGGACTGGAGTGTTGTGAAAGTTTTGTACCTTTTGGAATTGGAACTGGAACGGCTCTTGCACCAGTGAGCCCAACATCTTTAATAATGTCTAAAATGTATTTCCTCTGGTTAACATAGGTTCCCATTTCTCCTCTAGCAATCTCAAGTCCGAGAAAGTATTTTGCAGCTCCAATATCTTTGATGGTGAATTGAGAATGCAGATATTTCTTGACTGCTATAATGTCAGATTCATGAGTTCCAGTGATTAAGACATCGTCCACATAAATAAGGAGAAATAAACTGTGATCGGATGAATGCTTAAGAAACAAACAATGGTCGTGATTGGACTGAACAAATCCATAATCTGTGAGTTTAAGACTGAGCTCTGTATTCCATTGTCTCGAGGCCTGCTTCAATCCATACAAACTTCTTCTCAGTCTGCAGACTTTGTTTCCCGTTGCTGTGGCATATCCCGGAGGTGGCTGCATATAAACCTCTTCATCAAGGTATCCATGCAAGAAAGCATTGTTGATATCGAGTTGATGTAGAGGCCATGATCTGGCTGAGGCTATGGCAATAAACATCCTGACTGTGACAAGCTTTGCAACAGGTGAAAAACAATCAAAAAAATCAATTCCTTCTAATTGATTGTAACCTTTTGCCACTAATCTTGCCTTAAGCCTATCCACACTTCCATCCGGTTTTAGTTTAACTTTGTATAACCATTTGCATCCAATAGCTTTCTTCCCTTGGGGTAAATCAGTGAGTTCCCATGTTTTATTTGATTCAAGTGCCCTTAGCTCCTCATTCATAGCATGTATCCAACTTTTATCTTTACAAGCTTGATGATAAGAACTTGGTTCTTGGGTTCTTGACACATTAGCTAGGTATGTCACATATGTATGGTGTAAATTTGGTGAGATCGTGTAAGGATATGTAGGTGGTGTGAATTGTGAAATAAATTTTGTTTGGTTAAAAGAGGATTGGTGGTTGGCAGACGGAATAATTGAATTTTCAGTCACATTAGTAATGTAATCTTCCATCCATATAGGTCTAGTCTTTTGCCTGGTACTTTGTCTAAGTGTTGAAGTCTCAGATGTTACATTTTCTGGAGATTCAGGAAAGGGAGCTTGGTAGAGTGGAATAGCATTATGATTAGTGGAGGAAGATGCAGTGGCGTTTTCATCAGAGGATATGTCTGTGGTTGTGTTTTGTGGAGGCTCATCACTTTGATTATCACAAGAGGAAGAAGTGGACAATTTGGTTACATCATCCTCATAAGATTCAGGGCATGGAATAACAGGATGAGATTTAGCAGTAATAGGATTTGTATCTGATTTGAAAGGAAAGTGATTTTCATAAAAGGCAATGTCTCTTGAGATTTGAACTTGTTTAGTGGATAAATTGTAGACTTTGTAAGCCTTTTGTCCAGGGCTATAACCAATGAACACACACTTATAGCCTCTTGATTCAAACTTGTCTTTGTGAGGTTTGGTATTGGTTATGTAACAAAGGCAGCCAAAGGTTTTAAGGGAAGAAAAGTCTGGTTCAGTGTTGTAGAGGATCTCAAAAGGGGTCTTCCAATTTAGCACTGAACTGGGAATTCTATTTATAATGTGTGTGGCCATTAGTATAGAGTGTGACCAGAAATATCGAGGTAAATGAGCTTGGAACATGAGAGATCTGGCCATTTGCAGTAAATGCCTGTGTTTTCTTTCTACAACTCCATTTTGTTGTGGAGTGTAGACACATGATTTTTGGTGAAGAATTCCTAGAGATCGGAGCAAGGTTTGACATTCATTTCCAGTAAATTCACTCCCATTGTCAGTTCTAATGATTCTTACATCCTTTTTGAACTGGTTTTTAATCATTTTAAAGAAGTCTTCTAAGGTCTTTACAGTCTGGGATTTGTGAATAAGCATGAATGTCCATGTGGCTCTACTGTAGTCATCTACAATGGTAAGCATAAAAGGTGTTCCAGTCAGGGTATGTTGTTTATAGGGACCCCATATGTCAATGTGCAACAATTCAAAGGAGGTTTTTGAGTGAATTTGCGAGATCTTAAACGGAAGTCTGTTTTGTTTTGCTTTGTGACAAATATCGCACGGTTCGACATTTTTAATGGCAGAAGCATTGCATAGTTGTGTAAGGAAGCTGAGATGTTGTAAGCATTGGAATGAAGCATGACCAAATTTAATATGCCAATCCACAAGAGAAAAGGGAGAAGCCTTATCAGGAAAAGAAATTTTATTTCTAGAATTCAAGTTCTCAGTAGATAGAAGATTACAGATATTCAATCTCCTATAACAATTTCCAACTCCACTATTCTGGAAACTATGGTCATCAAGTGTGTATAACTTTCCATTCAATTTTCCAACCGCCAACGTCCTATCACTCTTCAGGTCCTGCATCAAGCAATGTGTAGGGTAGAAGATAAATTTAACATGTGCAGTTTGGCAGAGTTTGGGGACAGATAGTAAATTAAGTTTGAAAGCAGGTACGTGAAGAACATCAGTTAACATGATTTTGTGGTTCATGGCAACGGTTCCAGTGTGTTGGACAGCTTTAACAGAGCCATCAGGCAGCAAAACAGAGGTAGGCTGTGTGACAGGTTTTAGGTTGGTCATTTGTGACGAATTTGTGCATATGTGATTACTGGCACCAGTGTCAACAATCCAAGTTCCATATTTCAGATCATCAAGTGAAGTAAAAGCAAAATGTTGAGTATACATACCAGAATAATCCCTGAGATGTGCAAAATTCACTTGATCTTCATTATCAGTGGTGAGCTTCTTTCCTTTCAGCATTTTCATCAACTCTTGCTGAACAATGGCAGCAATATTGGAAGAGGATGATGCATCCTTCGAAGTCACAGTAGCAAAACCATCTTCAAAGTCAAGGGGTGAATTATCCATTTTCATCACATTGTTAACAGTATTTCTCCAGCTAGGATCCTTTGTTCTTTGATCTTTCTTATACCAATCTGGAAAACCAATGAGTCTGAAACACCCTTCCTTTGAATGCCCACTCAAACCGCAGTGGTCACAGTGCATTAGCTCCTTATCATAATTGTCATATCTCCTGTTGCTTCCCCTTCCTATAGCATTGTTCCCTTTACCAAAAGCAGATCTACCTGTCCAATTTCCTCTCCCAGATCCATTTCTTCCACGTCCATCATTCCTAGTATTAAATCCCCTGACTATCATTGCAGTGTTGTCATTAGTTTCAGGATATAACATATGCACTTCCCTTTGTTTCTCCACCCTTAGAACCATGGAATAGGCTCTATTCACCGAGGGTAAAGGCTCCATCACAAGAACTTGATTCCTGACATTGTCATATGTATCATTCAGGCCCATTAAAAATTGCATAAGTTTGTTGAAACAGGCTGAATCAGACACTTCCTTTGCAGCTCCGCATGTACATCTTGGTGATGGCATAAGACAGGCTATTTCATCCCACAATTTTTTAAGATTGGTGAAATATTTCTCCACAGTCATTGATCCTTGTGTCATGCTACTGATCTCTCTCTGTAACTGGTAAAGTAATGGCCCATTGCATTCACCATACCTCTCATTTAATTCATCCCATAAATCCTTGGCTGATGTCGTGTAAATAAATGCCTCCACAATTTCCTTCGAGATCGAATTTAAGATCCAAGATCTAACCATACAGTCTACCCTATTCCATTGATCAAACTCTTGAGATTCAACATTCGGTTTCTCACATTTCCCATTTATGAAGCCCAATTTTAATTTCGCACCTAATGCTATTTTAATAGACCTGTTCCAGCTGAGATAGTTTTTACCTGTCAATGGTGAAGTTACAAGGATCATTCCTGGATGATCCGAACTCTGCAAATCCAATGGGTCTCCATTGGAGTACCCCTTTGCTGCAACTCCCTGTTCAATTATCTGAGGAGTTTGTAGATCCTCATTTTGATTGTCGTTGTTTGCCATCTTCTCGCTGATAAATTTATCACTTCAAAAATTTATGGGTGCGAGATGATTT